TCGTTTAAATTAATGGAGCTCGTGCCGAATGACGCAAGCGCAGATGCGTTTTTTTCACATTATCCACCCCCCGCGGCCATTTTGAATCACTCCATGAAAGCCCAATTTTTGTCCCATGAGTTAGAACGGCGGAGATTGGCTTGGCTACGTCTGTTAATATGTTATAGACTGTTATACACAGTCTATGCTTGGAACACGGAACCGCACTCCGGCATCAATTACACAACCATCTCCCCGTGTATCCTAGTTTCTGGTAACGGAGCCAGACAGCACACACCGGGGCCCATCGTCGGGGCCCATCGCCGCGGCTGCAATCGATGCTGTCACCATGAATTAGACATTTTGGTGCAAATGGAGACAGTTTGCGATTGTTATTAAGCAATGTGCCTCAGTAGCACTTGGTAGGTGTGTCCACAGACGGGGAGCAGGTGTGATTTAGCGCCCCAATAAACCAGGCAAAAAAAAAAAAAAGAGACACATCTACACATTTGGAACAGCCGTGGGAGCCGTGCATTCTGGGATATTGTTATGTTCACTTTTATGGCTGAGGATTCTTATAGAGGTATTTAACTGTGGGAGAGAGGCAGGAGGAGGAGATCTTTTGATTTGGGGCTGCAGCAGACTGTCAGCCACGATGGATGAACGATACAGTAAATCCACACCGAGACGACAGTGGAAATACGGTGACTAAATTTATAGATCATAACTACATATTTCTTTTCTCAGCAACACATTAATCATTCAGTTTAATTTAGCCACGGTCGGGCAGAGAAATCCTGATGAGCTCGACACAAGGCTATATGTATCAGAATCTGGATGTTTGTATAAGGAAGGTTTCGGAGGCAAATGACATGTTTTGCACCAGTCTCAAAGTCTCGGAATTGACTTATAAAGAATAAAAATGGGACAAATGGGAAAAAATATAAGATGTGTGAAACCATTACCAAGACTTAGCAAAAGACAAAAGTGTGGAGTTGAGTGAATGTGGTTGAATTGTTTCGAGATTGGTAGAAACGTGTTCAGAATAATTCAAATTCAAATAACTTTTTTTATCTGTGAGAAACTTCATTTACCGACACAATAAAAGTACAGAGATGTAGTGGATGTACTGAATGTGGCCCTTTTCAAAACATAAAGAGCCACATGCAGCTTCCTCCCCAACTCATTTCCTCTTTTAAACAGGTGATTGTGAGATCTGTTTATGTATTTTATAAATATCAAATGGGGAGGAAGCTGGATGTGGCCCTTTTTCGTTTTGAATGGGAGGTTTTTACTTCACTGTCCTGGAATGGAAATGTGTCTATTTGATTTCATCGCAGTTCAATTTAATTTGGTATAGCCCTAAATCACAACCTTAGTTACCTCGGAGGACTTTACAAAACAATTTGCCAACACAGATCAGAGAATCAAACGCAAAACACAAAACACATAGAGCCATTGGTCCATAAGAAGCAGATGACCAATGTCCATAAATGTTGATAAATGCCCATAGATAGATTAATTTCTGCATGTTTTTGTCTGCATATGTATGTTTTCCTGTAGGCTGTACCACAAAACCTCAATGCATAACCTAAAAAGTTTATCACTCTTCATCTTAATTCACCAGAAACGTGTCAAGTCGACTTTCCCATGGCTCAACAAAGAAAAAGTGTGTAGGTGCTAAACCCAAAGATATTACTTTCTTACAGCACCACAACAAGAAAAAAACCAATATTTTAGCTCAGTATAAAAGAGCATTGTAGTTTTTCCAATATAATGCAACCCTAATATGCATGCATAATTAATAACAATGTATTATGGTATAATAGTAAGCACTACAGTGGTGTGGTTGATTGCGGTCCCAGACTCCCACAGAGAAACATCGCTGGGTTTACTCACAGCATTATGGGACACAATAACTTTGGCAAATTTTAAAACTTTCCAATATACAAGCTGTGTCCTTATTTATAATTACACCAGACCTCTTTCTCTGTCTCTCTACCCACCCATCACCCATCACCCATCTATGACGTCCAGTCTCTGCCCTGCCGGAGCGGAGGGCACTGGTAAACACAGCTGCCCACTGTGACCTGTACAAAAAGATAGCATCCATATACTTTCTGACAGGCAGATAAATGGACGCCTATAGGAGCACCACTGTAGGGCCCCCCCACCCTCCCAAAAGCCTGACGGAGACAGAATAGTCTAAGCAGTCCCATTCATTACTGCAGGAGCACAGAAAGAGCACACACAGCACTGACAAACTAGCTCCTTGTGAGTAATAGCTAAAGAACTCATAAAGGAATACATACACGTTTGTTGTGGTTGCACTAAATCTATGCCACTCATTTCATTGGTCGTCAAAAAACTCTGAGGAAATACAAGGAAATGTGTTCAGCATGTGGGGCAGTGGGTACAAGGGGCGAGGGTTTTTAAGTCTGGCATGTTTCGGAGAATGGAATGGAATGGTTTGGGTAAAAAGAAATGTTGAAAAAGGAGAAAAGTTGCTTATTGTTACTACAAGCAGCACTACTGTCGTGTAAGTATTGTTGTAACTTCAGTTAAATCCACGATAATGAGCGGAGGGTTGAGTTTGTCATTTGTCATTTCTCCCACTGGGTTTTTAGAGTTTTTCCTTCTAAGGACACTAAACATTTATCAAAATATATGGACCTTTTTTTAATATCATTGCATTTCTCTGATCTGTGGTTCTACTGTTGTGATTTAGGGCTATACACAAATAAATTGAATTAAATTAAATGTCAATGCATCAGCAATATATAACTTGAGTGCTATAGTTCAAGACTAAAGCCTCAAAAGTGGTACAAGCTGAAATCCATATGTGATTGATGTTATATACAGTGCCTTGCGAAAGTATTCGGCCCCCTTGAACCTTTCAACATTTCGCCACATTTCAGGCTTCAAACATAAAGATATAAAATTTTAATTTTTTGTCATGAATCAACAACAAGTGGGACACAATTGAGAAGTGGAACGAAATTTATTGGATAATTTAAACTTTTTTAACAAATAAAAAACTGAAAAGTGGGGCGTGCAATATTATTCGGACCCCTTTACTTTCAGTGCAGCAAACTCACTCCAGAAGTTCAGTGAGGATCTTTGAATGATCCAATGTTGTCCTAAATGACTGATGATGATAAATAGAATGCACCTGTGTGTAATCAAGTCTCCGTATAAATGCACCTGCTCTTTGATAGTCTCAGGGTTCTGTTTAAAGCGCAGAGAGAACCATGAAGACAAAGGAACACACCAGGCAGGTCCGAGATACTGTTGTGGAGAAGTTTAAAGCCGGATTTGGATACAAAAAGATTTCCCAAGCTTTAAACATCTCAAGGAGCACTGTGCAAGCAGTTATATTGAAATGGAAGGAGTATCAGACCACTGCAAATCTACCAAGACCCGGCCGGTCCCTCCAAACTTTCATCTCAAACAAGGAAGAAGACTGATCAGAGATGCAGCCAAGAGGCCCATGATCACTCTGGATGAACTGCAGATAAATACAGCTGAGGTGGGAGAGTCTGTCCATAGGACAACAATCAGTCGTGCACTGCACAAATCTGGCCTTTATGGAAGAGTGGCAAGAAGAAAGCCATTTCTCAAAGATATCCATAAAAAGTCTTGTTTAAAGTTTGCCACAGGCCACCTGGGGAGACACACCAAACATGTGGAAGAAGGTGCTCTGGTCAGATGAAACCAAAATCGAACTTTTTGGCCACAATGCAAAACGATATGTTTGGGCGTAAAAGCAACACAGCTCATCACCCTGAACACACCATCCCCACTGTCAAACATGGTGGTGGCAGCATCATGCTTTGGGCCTGCTTTTCTTCAGCAGGGACAGGGAAGATGGCTAAAATTGATGGGAAGATGGATGGAGCCCAAATACAGGACCATTCTGAAAGAAAACCTGTTGGAGTCAGCAAAAGACCTGAGACTGGGACGGAGATTTATCTTCCAACAGGACAATGATCCAAAACATAAAGCCAAATCTACAATGGAATGGTTCACAAATAGACGTATCCAGGTGTTAGAATGGCCAAGTCAAAGTCCAGACCTGAATCCAATCGAGAATCTGTGGAAAGAGCTGAAGACTGCTGGTCACAAACGCTCTCCATCCAACCTCACTGAGCTCGAGCTGTTTTGCAAGGAAGAATGGGAAAGAATTCCAGTCTCTCGATGTGCAAAACTGATAGAGACATACCCCAAGCGACTTGCAGCTGTAATTGCAGCAAAAGGTGGCGCTAGAAAGTTTTAGCGCAAGGGGGCCGAATAATATTGCACACCCCACTTTTCAGTTTTTTATTTGTTAAAAAAGTTTAAATTATCCAATACATTTTGTTCCACTTCACGATTGTGTCCAACCTGTTGTTGATTCTTGACAAAAAATTAAAATTGTATATCTTTTGTAACTATACTTATCTTTTATGTAATCAGTATATTTTTGCATTGAAAAGCCAGATCCCGTCAGACCTCTGAAGCTGTGCAGGGCAGGGGCTGGTTAGTACTGTGATGGGAGACCTCGCTTCTGTCAGTGTGCCCCAGGGCAGCTGTGGCTATAGTAGTAGTTTATCACCACCGTGTTTGGAGTGAAATAATCATGACATGTGAAGAGTCTTTGAGCGTCCGGAAAAGCGCGGTGTACAACCAATGCATTATTATTATTATGTGTTTTATTACCTAAATATTATTGAAATGTTCTTACAATATTCTTACACAGTATATGCAATAACAACACAAGAGAGGTCCTTTTCTTTCACTCATAATCATTGGTTCCGTTTTGTTTTACTCCTCAAAAATGACAATCTTCCACCATGTGCACTCCACCCCCTACCACCATTCTCAAACACACACACAGACACACACAGACACACACACACACATATATATAGGCATGTGCACAACGCATTAAAAAGGGCTAATGTGTAAACAGTTGCTCTTGTTTGCATGGACCACCTGTTCTTCCTGGACACAAACAAAGCCTTGGCGTATGACGGAGTGTGTTAACAGCGAGGGGTGCGGAGGGGAAGCCTTGCACCAGAGGAGCCCGTCCACATGGTGCAGGCGGCATCAGATGGTGGGGCCCTGCAGGACGGCCCCAGCTCAAACACACAGAACCCACCGACAGGCTGAGCATCTACGGCACACAGCACGCACACAGGTCCTGATGCTGGAGAATCACAATCTCCCACCAAGTGCAGGGAAGAGTCCAGCACCAGCAGTACACACACCAGTTGGACTGAGTTTTATGGTTCAGGTATAACAGTGAGTGCAATCAAAATACATACAGTGTTTTATGATTTAAAGATATTTTATTGAGATTTTAAACTGCTTCTTTTTATGCTATTGAGTAATATATGTGATTTTATTTATTAATTTATCTTGTGCTGTGTGCGCCACTTGTGATGCAACTCTGAAATTTCATCACTATGAGACAAAAAAATAATCGTAATCTTATTTTTGGAAAAAAGAAGAATGCGTCCTGGATCTACAGCCCGTCGTTCTTTTGGAGTTAATCTCTCTCTCTCTCTCAATGTAGGCCTCCCCAAGGTTTCTCACTTTTTCCTCACTTCTTTTTTGGGGGTTTTTTGTGGTGTAGTAATTCCATACCGATAAAGTGATGATCCATTTATAAACATTTACAGACATTGGTCGTCTCGCCCTCTATGGACTGTGTTTGTTATTAACCCTTTAATATTCACTTCATGAAGAAAGCAATGGATTTTCTAAGATGTAGGGCACTAATAACACAAATCATATTTTTATGTTTTTTTAACCCCTAATTTAAAATATTATTATAGGCCTTTACCAAATGGTTGAGATGCATCTTAATGGTAAAAGTGCTTCAGTGCCCCAAAGAGGTAGATTTCAGCTCCAATCTTCAAGTAGATATAGTGACTCAAAAGGTGATCCACCAAATGTTTGAGGAAACAATAGGTTAACGCATTTCCTGTGTTCGTACTGTTTGATTCTCTGATCTGTTGTTGGCGAATCCTCCGACTGCTTGATTTGAATTGAATTGGCTGAGATGTACATGAACATAGACTTGTTCTGCATGTTTTAGAGGCCTCTCCTCCAGCTTGTTCTGGTTCCGGAGATCAGTTTTGGTCTCATTCTCTACAACATTCAGGCAAAATGACAGAAGCTGCTGGACCTTGAGGAGTGATTACCCTTAAAATGTGAAAACAGTAGAAAGAAGAAGTTTGCATACATAAAAAGACACAACAATGTCTTTTCTCACCTGCTTTAGATCTATCAGCTCAACGACATAATATTTAGGGAGTTTTTTGTCTCAATGAGTGTGTGTTTGAGTGTGGTTGTGAGAAACTACATAGATATTAGCAACAGAGCTTCAATCTGGTGTATTATGGTGTACTATGGTAGCTCTCAAATACAGGTTGGAGACCCCTGATCCACTATATCTTGGAGTATACTAGAAATACTTTTGAAGCCAAACATATAGATGTGATGCAGATCAAGAAATGGAGAATAAAAATATGTTAAAATTCACAAAAAACCCAAACAAAAAACATACATTTTGACAGATAAGGGACGGTGTGAGTTAATACATAGCGGTGTAACATAACATTCGTGGGGTGACGCCCTAATCTCCACATCTCCTCATTTGCCTCTTACACGACGTCCACTTAACGGATGCTTAATATTTGCTAAAGTGCACGATAATAGTGTTGTTTTTTTTTTTTTTACAAAGAGCGTTCCACTTTGGGATGCCACTGAGCTCTCGGAGGCACTAAAACAAAAGTCATTAAAGGAGTCATCACCAAATCACAGCAGGAGCCGGCTAATGCCACTTACTGTATCTCATTACGCTATGGCATCTACAGGGGAAAAACTGACAAACAAAGAGAATAATCCAGGGCACATTAACTGGCCTGATAATTCGATCAACTCTCATTTGGCAGCCATCTTGCCCTTGTGATGGTCTCTTTTCAGCCTCGCCAACACGACCCAGACCCCTCACGAAGCTCCTCTCCTCTCTTTCCTTTCAAGCACACACACACACATACACACATGCATTGCCTACATACATCTCTGCACTCTCACATGCTCTAAAACAACAAAACATCCACCATTAGACAACGGGGTACCGGCGTAATTAGAAAATGACTTCCTTTGCAATCCTAGCTAAGTAGTTTACACACTGTAATTACAGGGACAAAATCATCTTTTCATCATTTCACTGATTGAGCTCATCAACCCAGTGGGATCCCAGGACGGTGCTCAGGCAACATCTGGGCTAAGAGAATTAGCCTTTGAGTTGAGAGAGGTCTGGACCGTGGCACGTAGCGGGTCTTTATGGTTTTTACGGTTTGTGTGTCGTTTTTTCTTGTCTGCGTGAAGATTTGAATTACAGCCTGACCTTTAAATTCTGATTAGGACCCAGTAATTAATCTATTTTTCATGAAGATTTAGATAAAGTCATTTATTTTTAATCAAGGAGACTACAGCCAGTCAAAGAGCGCATGCAGTATGAGTTCAGCTGATGGAGGAGGAAGTGAGTGCTGTCTTTGTCGATAAAAAAAATTTGCAAAGCAAGTGTTGTGTAGTCGCAGTTTAAATTCCAGTTTGCAAATAGCTGTAAGGATTGGGCTTGTGGCTTGACTCATGAAAATGTTAGTGGAGGGGGGGGGGGGGGGGGGTCGGTTCTGTTCAGTATCGCGATATTTTGCACACAGAACATCACATACGGAAAAGTATCGCGATTTTCAAGTAGATAATAATGTGTGTCACTTTGGTGTTTTCTCAGAGTTTACTTGGTCATTTATATCTGAGGTCTATGTTCCTCTGTGATGTCTGCTTTCGGTGACTCTAGTCTGTTGTATTTGAATAATGTCGGTGAAGCTTGGAGCGCAGTTCATGTGCAGACCATAATATTTGTGATATTTGAGTTGAGTCTTATTTTTCTCAATGTTTGTAATGTGTTTGAATCACAATATATATTGCAGAATCGCATTGTAACACTTGCTGTATCGCAATATGGAAAGAATCACAATAATATTGAAACTCGGCCCAAATATCGCAAAACCATCCAATTGTCACATTTTTGCCCAGTCCCAGGCCTAGAAAACGTGTGTCCTGCCTCTCTCCCTGCATCACACATGGACCTGTGCACACTTCTCACTCTGATCGTCCGGTCACAGTGGCATTTCAGATTCTTACAGTGAGATCCCAGTTCTGTCCAGATGTGAGAACCATCATACACAGAGCATTTCTGTCTCTGTCTCTGCAGCTGAACCTAAACTCTGAGACCAAGCGGCTCCTGGCAGAGGGACACCTGAGGACACAGCACCTTCGGATGATCCTCTCGCAAAAAGGACTAATAACTATTTTCAAAGAGTTAAATGTGTTGGTAGGACATGACCATCCATTCTGTGTGTGCTGTGTTCATAATTGCAAGCTGTTCAATTCAGTTTAGTTGCAGATAACTAGATGCAAAGTTGACTTTATGAAAAGGAGGAGAGGTCGTTGTCTTCATTTCAACAAAAGCTCCTACATCAAACTTTGGCTCTTCAAAGGCTGACCTTGGCTCGCAGCAACAACAGGCCTCGGTAATGATGTGTGTGCCCTGAGCTGGACTTTCTAACAAACACACATGTTTGTGCATCTGAAGGTGAAGAGCGGCGCCGTCTCTGTCCTGGAAAAGGACTTTGTGTGTTGGCAACACAAGCAAGTGTTTAATGTGGCAGCTGTTAGCCTCGTGGATTTCCACTAATCACTCTCTCCTGATTACTCTGATGAGTGTATGATGCTCTTAAATAATCAACCCGCTATGAAAAAAAAGAAAAATCATTATCATCATCTCCCTAAGTAGTGCAGCTGCACCCGCCTGCAATAATTACAACTAGAACAGGGCGCCTTCTCTCGTCACTTACAACCACTTATTATTAGAGATAACGCTAATTGGTGCGGTGGTGGGCGACGATTCTTCATGGGACTCACCATAAAGAGCCAAACCTGAGTGTTATGGCACATTAGTGGTTTTTAAAGACAAGGTGTGGTATTAAACACTGCACACCAGGAGTCACCAGGGGAGTCGCAGTCCTGAAGCCGGGCCCTTGGCTTTGCCCTCCTCTGCGCTGCCATCCCCTCCCCCCTGAAGCCAGTGGTATCAGCCTGGCAGACACAATTAACATTTTCATAAAAACAATTCCCTGCCTCCAATCGTCCAATGTAATTTGTTTTCCATCTCTGTTCATTAATCATTGTTTAAATCGGTGAGCCAGCCCCTCCACTCTGCCATCTGCACTCAGCTGTGTTACAGATATGACACCTTGCCTCTTAATGGGAGCTGACAGCCAGGAGAGAGGAGGCCTGTGGAAAATAGCTTCCTGCTCGTGCACTTCCACCTCTCGCGCTGCCGCAGGTGAGAGCGTGTTATTTAATGGCTCCGGATTAATCTCAAAGGCAAACAACATTACATTACACTATGGCAGTGCAGGCGGCGAGGAGAGCTCTGTGGAGGCTGGAGAGCGAGCCCCCCACCAAAACAATGCATTCCATATTTTGTCGAAGTTGGTGAATGCGCCTTTCTCTGCTCGAGTGAAATTAGCGCAGTCTTCCTACAATATGCTATTGTTTTCCTGGAATTGGGAGCAAGGTTATTAATTATTCACTGTTGTGTTCTCATATAAGGAGGCTATGCTTTTCACTGTATTGCCTCATAGCTCAAATACTTTAGGCCATAGAGCACAGGCAAATTTCACCAGGCATCATCACAGCTACATGATTATAAGCGGGTATAGAGAAGAAGATTCAAAGTTTTTCCTAAAGAGTTTGAGTGATGTGCGGAAGGAGTTGCACCAAAACAGGCCACACTTTTACCGGCTTTCACATATTACAGCTAAGATTAAGATTAAGATTAAGAAAGAGGCTCAAGATCAGATCTAAATATAGTTTGATTGTGTGTGAGGAAAAGAATAAGCGTGAAATGGTGCCAAAAAGTTCATCTGGCTTGTTGATACCGGTTCGGATTACCCGCATTCAAATCATGTGCTCTGTGTTCAAACAAGTGCTGCGATCGTGGGGCAAAGCTGCCAGAGACTTTGTGGGAATTTGAAGTGGCTCAATTAGAAAACGTAGTGTTTGCTTTACTATACAGGCGTTTTTACCCAAAGAATCTGCCATAATCTGTTGGTTAAACTGAGAGAGACTATGTGTTGAGCTGCTTTCAAGGCAAAATGTCAAGTTGCAATGAATTTACCCTTGATATATGAATATGAATTAAGTTCTCTTGTCTTATCTTATGACCAAACAAGTTTTTATTCTGTATAGACAAGGTATAGATCTAGACTTCTGTGGTGACTTATATATTGACTATGATTTTGATATCTTTTATGGGACTTAGATAAAGGCTGTGAGACTGTACAACAATCCTGGATAAGTCTTTTTCTGCTGGAATTTCTGCTTTGGGGGATCAACAAGTATATATCTATCTATCTATTGCCTAATTTTCTTTTAACTTGAAGCTGGCTCACCAATTTCAGCAATCTGCTTTATGAGTAAGAGAAAAATATGAAATCGTGTGTCAAGTCAATGCAACAATCCATCACATGTTAAACAATTGTTAAGCTGAGATGTAGGTAGATTAAAAAAAACAAGTCACAAAGAACTCTCCGGCTAAATTTGACATTAGAGAAACACCTGCGTGCCCCTAAACAAGTGTGCCATGGACCGTGAGCCCCACTTCTCCTCCTTTCGACTCTTCTAAACAAGGCCAACAAGCGCACCACTATTATACAGTAGTAGTAAATGATGTGTTGATCCTGAGCTGAATATTTCATGTTGATTGATCGCCCTGACTGCCACCCACCTGCTCCTCCTCCTGTCCCACCGGAGCTGGCATGAGGAGAATCCAGTAATTGAGAAGAGCAGTGCATGGGCTCTCTTTGCTCACATATGACAGATGGGGCATCATCGCTTCAAAGGAGAGCGTTTGGAAACAGGAGGCAGAGGAGGAGGTGGCGAGCAGGGGCCGGGAGCTGGCGTTTCAATCTGCAGCTCCGTACAGGTGACAGAGAGAGAGACCTACTGCCCTCAATCATAGACACTAACAGGTGGACAAGAGAGCGAGAGACTATAGGACTTATGGTGTTTTGCATTGTATACATAACTGCAGTGGTGATATTACTATGGTTTACAGGCTTTTTACGGCTGTGTATGGGTAACACTTGAATGATTTGCTTGCTTGATTGGCTGAAATGTGAAACAGTCTTCCTGAAAACGTGAGACAAACTTGACCAACTCACAATATTCCAATCCAGTTTTGTTCAGCTGCCCATAGAAGACACTGTATATGTTCTTATTTTGAAATCTATATGAATATTTATGATTTTTGCCCATTCCCTTTTGGTATGTTTTCGTTCGTGTTCGGTTAAAAGCACTTTGTATGAATTGTGCCATACAAAAAACTTGATTGAGACGTGACAATGAAGATGATACATGCGATACGTAATGGAGCAAACGCATCAACAGCCGAAACACAAAACAGAAAGTCAAAACATAAAGTAAATGTTAGAATCAGCGCATAAAACTGAAAAAGTAGTCGCTATAGTCTTTGGTGTATGTATAAATATATATAACGTTAAATGGTGTGCACATTCTGAGCTTCTTTCTCTCTGTGGAAATGCAAGCAGTGGCAGTTGTGAAGTTGAAGTTAATGGCACTAAAGTTAAGATTTGGGAATGGTGGTGGTGGTGGTGGCGCGCGTCTTGAGTCTTACCTGGTGTGTCCAAAATACGCAGGGGCAGAAGAAGTGTGCCAGCCAGCGGGAGTTCTCTGTGTCCTGCTCAGACTGATGTGAAGCCGGTGTCAGGTCTGTGTGAGTGATGATGGACCCCTGGATCACACGCTCTCTCCCCTCGCTTCCCCCGTCCGTCTCCGCGCGTCTTTCCTCTCTGCACTGAAGTCAAGCAATCGCAACACGAGCGGACCGCGTTGCCCCCGTCTTTCCTGCTGAAGAAAGAGCTAATGCATTCTTTAAAATAAATAGTCGGGAAGGATACTTGACATGTCCCGAAGCCGTATGTCTCCCTCATCTGGCCGCCAGTAGTGTGACAGACTGGTCCTCCGTGCGTAAAATGCGCGCTGGGGTTTCCAAGACGATTCCGATTTATAGATCTGCAGACAGTCGGTGTGTGCTCACGCCAAATCCAACCATTCGACTCACTAAAAGCACTGTTAGCGTGTCTGAAATTGATAAATACTCACATTTCACATATAGAAGATTCTCATGCAAACTTAACAAACCACAGTTGAGGAATCACTGTTTTTTTCTGTTAACTTTGTAGAATTTCTTGTTTTCATTCTTTCATTCATCCAGTAGTTTTGTCATGTTTCAAGTTTTTTTTTTTCTTCTCACGATCATAATAATCTTTTTTTCTTCTTTTTTTCTGTGTTGAAGTAACTTTAGGCTGTTTCAAATTGGCATTCACTCTGATTTGACCTCAGCCTCAAACATCTATTGCTGTTTAATTCAATCTCTATTTGCTTTTGATGCTCTGCAAAAAATATTATCTTTTTCACATTACTTCAAGTAGATTCTGATTCTGTCTTAAAAGCCGGTTTTCCATTGGGATAAGCAGAAATGTCTTACCTCAAGCACTGTAGATTTTTTTGTGAGAACAGAACCAGCTTTTTTCTGTTGTCCCGTTGACAAATCCTGTTTTAAGACCAACATCTGAAATCGCACAAATTCAATTATCCCTATTGACATTTTTGGGTAATCTTCTGGAAAACATAATTTGTTCATAATTGCTTTGAACAACCTTGTACTGATACACAATTAAACATCAGTGTAAATGTAAGTGAAGTGAAAGCCAATGATAGTCAACAAAGTGTAAACATTTGTAATCCATCTGAGCAAATAATAAACACTTTAGGTTAAGCATGTCCAAACTCAGGCTCGCGGGCCAAACGTGGCCCTCTGCAGCTAACTTCATGTAGTCTTGAGATCATGAACACAGTTTAGTGTCATCAAGCCAGCTTCAGCTCCACCAATAGAGGTATGTTATCTTGTAAAGATCAAAACCTCTAGAATCCAGTTGACTTTATTATTATAGGCAGACCTGATCTCTGTCTAACTTATTGTGTCACTTTCTTGACGTATCATCTTAAAGTCCAGAACAGCTAAAACAGTTTTTAAATCCATGCTGTCGGCCCATGGAGAATTCTGGTGAACTAAAGTGGCCCTCTTACTAAAAGGTTAGGACACCCCTGCTAAAGGTGAAGCCCAAAAGGTAACAACATGCACCTTCACATATCAGAATCAGAATAATTTTTATTGTCATGTAACAGGAAGTCACAGACTTGGAAATAGTTTTGGCTCAGTGCAACAGTCAAAAAGAGAGGTAAAGGGTAGAGACGTGTGGAAGATGAAGCACAGACACGGGATCGTGGCGCACCAGAGCTCCTGGAACTCTATTCAGTTTCCTTCAGGTTTCAGTTGGTTCAGTTTTTTTCAGTCAGGACAGTGTCATGAAATCTCTAAAGAAGGCATAATAAAAAAATAATTAAAAAAAATACATATCAACAACACTTCTAAGGAACACAATTTAAAATAGATTTATTACAATTACTATGTACAACATACAAGTGCATATGGTGCACACAATATGAGGTGACAGCAGTAAAGTGACATTATAAAGGGCAGTAAGGGGACTTTATAAGGACATATGGTTTTGTATTAAAAAGTTGCTCAGATATTGACCCCATCTCACCTGCACGTCCATCCTCCTGATTCAGACTGCACTTCACTGAAAGGACAGAACCGGGTTTCTTTAGACGAGTTCACTTTTGCCGTTAATACACTTGGCTGGAGACTTAATGGCATATCATATGTTCTAATAGTTAAGACGACTCTCTCTCTTTTAATCCATTCATCTGGCATTTTACAAGTGTAACTCCAAGTGCCTGTCTCGACAACAATACCTGCTCCAATCCCTCGTCACAAAAATCCCTCCTAATCCTGGCACCGTAGATCTGAAGCCCCATTACGTAGTTTGTGGTGTTCTTTGAAAATGCATTGGGGGCTATGTTCCGGCGTGCACCTTCACAGCTTACCCCTACATAAGACCACTGATCTCTGTCTAACTAACACAACTCCAGAGTGTTAACTTAAGCATTGCCTATAATCTGTGTCATGCTACCTGGATTTTTATATTGGAGAAATAATCCTGAAGGAAATAGAGGGGGAGTCACCTCAGGACTTTTAAAGCTCCTTACTTAAGGCCTGCACTTGAGCCGTTTCACATAAGAGGAAATGCAATGATAGCCTTTGAGCTTTAATTACACCTTTTTAAATTATATGCTCGGCACTAATACGAGAATGAGGAGACATCAAAGACAGGTGTGCAGATATGGACTTACTAACTGCAAAATGGTAAGATCAAACTTTAAATACTTCTGAAATCTGTCTTAAAAGGATAGAAAACACACACTTTCTCTCATTCTTAGAGGAAACACTTGCAAAATGTTGACTTTGGGACAATTAACAAAGACGTTATGTACCTACAGTAAATATTTCTGATGTTATTTTGTGTGCCACTAGTTGCTGTAAAACAAAAAACTACAAAATACAAAATCTGTTCTTACTCTATGTTCCCCGGGGTTCAGACTCAGGATTGTATCAATACTGCCTCTAACATGTCAGAATATCATTTAAACATTATTATTCAAATGTTCACCATGGAAATCAATTAACATATCTCTAATAGGTTCTTAAGAGCTGTTGAAAAAATACATTATATTCAGACAATGATCAATGGAAGCGTCTGTTACATAAAAGGCCTCAGGAGGTATACCACACAAACACACACACACACACACACACAAACACACGCTAAACTTGTACTCAAAATCATTTATTTGTTCCTTTATCCTCTACATAAAGCTTTTCACAAAAGGAAAACATACATTCATTAGGTAGGTTAGGAGAAAAATCAGGCAAAGCAGAGATTTTGTTATAAGAAAGAAAAAGACAGAAAGGCATATTTGTCGTTTGTGACAGGATTTAAAAGCTTCGGTCGTAGATATCAAAGATGAAACTCGCTTAAAAATAACCGATTCTAATGCCATAGTAACGGGGGTTAAGTAAACTCTAAATCTTACCCTTATGCACGACGACAGGCGAGGCAGAACTGCAAATGCTTTACGTTTAGAAAGGCAGTGTAAATAGCAATGAACAAGCGCTGGGTGGTCGGAACAGTACGAGTGGTAGAAAAACAAGTATTAAGGTATTATGGAATATTTTGTTTTTCTTTCTCAACGTCACATTTGTTGGAGCCGGGCAGCTTTGAACTTGGAGAGCTTCTTGACGGCGGGCTGCGGTGGCTGCGGTGGCGGCGGCGGTGGTGGGAGGGCCGTACAGTCTGTAGAGGAGGTTTCCAGACCCACCTCCTCCTGTTTCCTCTCCAGGATGGTGGGCAGAGCGGGGTGAGCGATGGTCAGGTGGGGCACGGTCGTAGGCATGGGGTCCTTCTCGATGACTGTGGCTGAAAATGCCTACAAAAATATGAATAACAAAAGCTGATTATTGTTTTTAGCTGTGATAGCGTCATCGTCATGCTTCTAACCAGGGTTCGAAATTAACTTTTTTGATCACCAGCCAAAGTGGCTGGTGACTTTCTGAAGTTACCAGCCAATCAGAATTTCCATTAGCCAAATTTTTACGTTGTGAAAATAAGAGATTATGAATGCCACTGAATGAAAATGTGATAATTTTATTAACAGTGCATGAAAAACGCACAGAAAGTGCAATACACAGAACAGACTATACACAGTTATAAACTGTTATAAACTTAACTTAACTATATAATTTCCAAGTTGGATAATTAACAAGTTCCCTCTCAGAATCAAATATCTTCAGAGCTCTCTGAACTCGCTTCTTCCTCTGAATCTGAAGTTTCTTTGGTTATGTTTTTGCGCACAAACTCAGGCCTGCGTCTGCGTAAACCGTCAACATGCCAGATGTTGATGGCTTTGGTTGGATCAAAGTCTTTGATGTCAGGTGAACACAACTGGGTTTTCAGGAGGTCAGAGAGGGACTCACCTTTCAGGCGTGAACGCCAGTCACTCTTTACCTGCTTCATAACACTGAACCCTCTTTCACAGTCAGCTGTACTTGCAGGAATGGTGAGGAGAGCATCAAATAGGTCAAGGATGTCAGGACACCGATGGCGCAGCATTCTGTTCACAGTAGGCCAGGTTTTCTCAATGGTTCCTGCTGCAGGGTCAGACAACATTATACTCTTGCAAACAATCATTTTAAAATGCAACTTTATGTTGTTATTAAAAGATGTCATCAAAATTTGTATTGCACTTTTAACAAATTAAATTTGCTCCGATTCCTGATAAACAAAATAAAACTGTCTTACACTATTAAACATTTAGCTTTTTAAGCACTTATATATCAGGTATATCTGTGTGATTTTTCAAGTACCTTGGCTAAATCCTGCTGTGTACAGTTCAGCCTTGAGAATAGTCCACTGATCAGGGATCAAGTCCACATCCACACCAGCAGACAGCAGAAGAGGTCGGAAGTGACTAATCAGCTTGTTAATCTCCTCATCACCAAAATCTGAGAACAAGGGAAAGCATTACTACAAAGTTCAGAAGTTGTCTTAAATCATGAAATGCATTGAAAAGATTTGTCCATTACAAACCGGAACTCATGTCTGCCTCTGGCCAGCACTGGAAACTAGCCAGTCGCATAGCATGCAGGACACCACTGTTCACATCACTAAATCTTGCAGTGATGCATTGGCACAGAGAATCGATCAGCTCATTCTTTGCCTTGTCATGCTGGCCGGCATCAGAAGGCTTCAGGAGGACTCCCTCATAGGTGTCTGTGTCCAGCACTGATCTCAGCTTTGGCCCAGGTCTAAAGTTGTGCAGATAAATGGATGAGTGTATTTTCATCCATGCATCGATTTGAAAACACACCAACACAACCTAAAATCAAAGCATACATGGTAGGATTCATACCTTGACTTGTACTTTTCTATAACAGCCTGAGTGGAAGACAGGCATCTCTGAGCTTCAGCCAGGGTTGACACGGACCGCTGCAGTGACTTGGAGAGGTTTTTCAGTTGATAGATGGTGTCATGGAGAAGGCAGCAAAACCTGAGCACTACACCATTCTTGGCTATGTTGAGGAACCCCTTGAACTTTGCCCTCAGAACAGCATTGGTGTGTGTGGTATCCTGGGACTACAAACAAAACAACTATAATTATATCATATACAACATTTAAAATTGAAACCCTACTAATTTTATTAGGCTATAAATTAGCATACCTTCTCCTCTAAGTGGTGGACAATGCCAGCATATCCCCTGAGAAAATGGTCAAGTGCATTGAAGAGATGTGGTAGCCACCGGGTTCCACCTATTCTGGTTGGCATCAAAGCTTTCATGTGGAGCTCCCTGAAGTGTTCCTTTAGGCTGGCCCTGTTTACACCACTCTTATGATATAAGGTGTAGAGTCCACTCAACAGGTCCTCAACTTTCCTGACCATCACATTCTTCCTTATTCCGTCCGAAAAGGAGAGTTCAAGCTTATGGGCCATGCAGTGGATCCCAAGCACACTTGATCTGTCTCCACGCAGTTTTGTAACTACACCATTGTTTACTCCTGTCATTACAGATGCTCCATCTGTGGTGATGGCAACCAGCTTGTTCTTCCAATCAGTGCTGACATCACTGTCCATTATACTGCACACAGCTTCAGCTATATGTGCAGCATCTGGCTTTGAGACAGCTTTAACCCCAACAAAATCAACTTTGACTTTTCCCTCACTAGCACTCCTGACATAAACCATTTCTTCTTCCATCACTGCACTGTCCAGGGATCCATCTGACATGACTGAGATGAACTTGCCGTCTGATAATCTTGCTTTCATCTTTCTCCTCTCATCCTCTGCTATGTAGTGTATGAACTCTTTTGCTTGGTGGTCATTTGTATATGTCTCTCCTATCTTCAAGCCTTTCTTCCTGTCCACTCTAAATTCATTATCATGTGAATAAAGCCAAAGTTAGTGCCTACAGAGTATATTTACTTTTCAGTGGGGTTATTAAAAATCAAACCTAACATTTCCTCTGTCTCATAGCATGCACGTCACTGTATCATTTTAAATGCACTGATTTTGAACATGTAAATAAAATGGTCGATTCACTTACTCACACATCCATGCGAAGTCGGTGAAAGGTCTGCCCTTTTTTGCGATGGCATGGGCATTTCTAAAAAGAAGTTGCATCTTCTCCAACTCCGAAGTCTTCAGTGAAGTGAGGCTTCTCCCCGCAACACTGTCTTCAACGGGAACCGTCTTCGCAGTTTTTATTTGAAGGCTTTCCCGGTGACTCCTAGCTTTCTCGTGGTCCTTCACTGCCTCGATTTTAAAATTACTGGTACCAACAACGAAACTGTTGGTTTTATTTTTGTCTTTCGTGTACTCACGGCAAATCTGACAAAACATGACCGAATTGTTACTATCAAACACTAACCAGTTACGACCTGTCTGCCATTTACAACTGAACTTCCTTCTCTTTGTTTCGCATATTCTGTCAACATTTTCATCTTCTGGCTCCTTCCTCTTCTCACTTCTTCCTGATCCTGACGTTTGTTCTAACCACCGCAACATTTTAGTTTATTTCGCTGTCCAGCTCAGTCCTCTCATCCGATATTTTCGCGTATCTGCGCTGCAGCCAATCTGCCAATAGGTATCTGAAACGTCACCAGTAGTGTAGTGTTCATGGGAAATGTAGGACGGAGGGGACAAACCACCCAGAGCGTCTCTGACATGATTTGCATGATTGGCTCATGCATCACCGGCCAAACTGGCGGGTAGGTTTTTTTTAGTACCCGCCAAAATGATTTTTAACCCGCATTTGGCGGGTTGGCGGGTGTTAATTTCGAACCCTGCTTCTAACCCATCACTAAACAATTACAGTATCAAACAACCAGATAATACTTTCTTTTCACAACTTTCAGAGACAAAACCAACAAAAGTTTGAGGTAGCAATACATTTTAAAATCCAGAAAGGGAGGAGGTTGCCGGATCGAGACTATTGGTATGTAGTGAGTTTGGCAAGTTTGGGCAAGTACTAATTTCAACCATTTGAACGTCTTTGCGTTTGTAATTTTAATTATGTTAGAGCTGTGGAGTGTGTAAAAAGCATTTCAAAATAAGATGTCACAGAGAAAGTGACCTTATCAGTTCACCAAACCCCACACACACACACACACACACACACACACTAAGGATAACGACCCCATCTCCTTCTTTGAGATTCACCCATTTACTTGTCAAAGTTAACATCCTCAGGACGTCCTCCCTGATCTACCGCGTTAGTCTTCTGGGGCAGTTATGAAGAAAGAAAAACCATATTGACACAACAACTGCATTGTATTAACACTAGGACTCCCAATAGATTCAATCCAATAGACTTCAGAGACATACTACAGAGACAGAAAAAGTCAAAGTTATGAAGACCAAACATGTACAAGAGCAGAGTAACTATGCTTCCAAAACTAAAAGCCGTCAAACTGACCGCTCTGTGGGAGTTCTACTTTTAAATGTGTAAACTTGCATGACTTTGTTTATTTATGCTCGAGATATACGAACGATCATTCACAGAAAACAAGACAACCTGTGCATGGTTTGAAAAGGGATTGGTCAAGCTCATTTTAATCTAATCCCCTCCCAGCCATTCAGACACATACTGCAACACAAGACTACACAAGACAACACAAAAGTCCAAATCCGACAGGACCCACCTCGAAGCGGCTGGCTTGGTGTGCTGGTGCGGCGGCGGGGCTGTCCTCCTCCGTGACGCCGTCGCTGGTGTCGCTGTGGGTGGTGTTGTCGTCGTGGCTGAAGCTGCGCGACATCATCCTCCGCTCCTCGAAGTCGGCGGCGCTGCTTTCGCTGGTGTCGCTGCACACGCTGTTCTCTCGGCTGCGGGACTTCAGGATGGACTTCCTGGGGACAGGCTCGCCGTTCTTCACGTCCACAAACAGCCTGTTCGGGACACACACGGCGTCAGAGAAGGCAGTGCTAACAGTGGTGTGTGGCTGTGAGGGAGACGTGCCTGTAGAGGTCGGCCGGTGTGGTGATCTTGTAATGCTCAGGATGGAGGTGTCCGTTACTGTGTCCGTTCTTTTTCTTCTTCTTTGAATGATCCTTTTGTTCTTTACGTTCGCTGTACTTCAGTGTTGTGTTTTTCCCCGTATTTATTCTTACCTATTAAAACATATTTGTCAAAATTGCAATGACATTTTAGTGTGAAAAGTACTGTAATAAACATTCTGACCTTTTTGGGTTCAACAGTGTGAGAGAAAGCGATAGTTGGCAAACTGTGGACTTCCTCCTCTTCATCATCATCTTTTGTGTCTTTGCAGGATGGTTCTTCTCTGGGAGGCTCCGTCGTCCAGCTGGGCTTCAGACTCTGGGCATTCACAGAAGCAGCAGGATCTCCATCTTTCTCTTCCTCTGAGGAAGACGAGGATGTGTCTTCACCATTGGTGTCAGCGGTGTCCGACAATCTAAGAGAATGAGTTGCATTACATTTCTGAGCCATAACAAAGTTTATTACATTTCTTTATGCACCTGTCTTGTTCATCCTGCAACTGCTCCAGTTTCTCAAGTTCATCGAGCCGAGCCCAGAGCTCCTGCTCCGACAGGACACTCTTATGAGCCTCACCTTCATCCTCCTCATCTTCCTCTTTCAGATCTATTACTGGGCCCAACTTAGGCTTAGATTTAGGCTTAAGCGCTATCCTGCGTTTTCCTTTACAAAAAGAAAGACCATTAGCTCGACAGTCATATCTGTTTATTTCAACCTGTTCTCATTTGTTTGGGAGCTTCACCTTTATGAACACCTTCCTCATTATTCCCAAAGTCTTCTCTGATGTCGACATAGTCACGTTTATTCTATAAAAACAAATACATTAGTCCTGATGAGTTGGTTATTTGAGACAAAGTGTAGATAACAGACATACCAGTGCCATTGTTTCCAAATCCTTTGCAAAGCCGACTCTGGCTTCAAAGTTCTTCACTGTCTTTGTTAGTTCATCGAGTTCATGCTTCACATCTGCAGAAAACAATTGCATTATTGGCGATAAGACGCCCGTGTGCAGTCACTTTGTGTGATACAGAAATAATTGAGGCCTTTCATTTGTGAACAAATGACAAGTTGCTCCTAGAGTGCTAAAATCTTTGTGATGTTCGAGGGGGAGGGATGAAAAATGATGACACAAACAGTTCATAATATCTTCTGCCCTGAATACTACTCCGGATCATTAAATCTTCACAACAATTAAGCCCTTTTACTAATAGCAGCAGAGGGCCCGTGTTTCCATGGCGATCGGGAGCCCCTCCAGTCAGTGCATCAAGCGGAAGTCAGAAAAGGTCAAACACAGAAGGCCTGACAACTCCGCTGCTGTCGGACACATCTCAGCCCGCTCTGTTTGTATTACAGCACTTAGCTCGGTAATAGCCGGGTGGGCCGGGTCAGGGGACGAGTGCCGGGGGGCGGGGGGCTGCCATGGGCTGTGGCAGCACATTTCTGCTTCACTAAACACTCTAATAATGTTCACAAAAGATCGTTATGAGGGCCCATTTGACTCTGTATGACTTTCTCAGACTTGGAATGAACACAACATAAAATAGGTGCAAATGAACAATTAACAAATACAGAAAATGAGAAAAAAGATGAGCTGTGACTGCAAACACATTTGCACATTACTGATGATGGAGTTGACCCTGACAGACGTGCATTTCATAAAATCACACAAGAAGAGGCATTTCATGATGACACATTATTCAGAAGTGACATTGGGGCAATTTAAATTAGATTGCTACAAACAAGACCTAACGCACAAAACTCAAACTCCTGGAATGAATAGAAAGTTTGTGCAACAGCGCCCTCTGCTGGATGCAGTCATCTAGTGCAAACAAATGGTGTGTATTATCACAACAAGAAGCACATTGTGGCTTTAAACACTCCCAGAAATAAGACTATGACCGGATTAATTCTTTTGCAATTTGCACATTTGGTGATTCAAAGTCTGTTTCGCGTTTTTCTGAAGGAACTCTCCACTTTAATGAACCCTTTGAAATACTGTGATTCAAAGACAGCACTTTCTGGAGACTTGTGGCACCTTCATTATGGCTTTCTATGTTTGGGTCCTTTTTATTTTTGCAATTAAGAATATGACTGAAATTGCGTTGACTTTTCTGTAATCTCTTGTTTGATTTGTGTTGTCAATAAAAAAAATTAAATCCCCCACTCACGTTTCATCCGGTGATCGACAATCTTCTGCGCTTGTTTTGCAGAGCATTTAGCAAACCAGTTGTCACCGAGCAGCACAGTGACCTCGTTAGTGTGGACCAGTTTCCCCGGCATGAAAGCTAAAGGTCCGAATGGCACCTGCAAAAAAGTGGAAGAACTTAGAGATGTTTGTGTAGCAGTATTTGCGACACATTTTGTGCAGTAAAAGCACTCACCATGATGTCATAGGCTAGTTTGTCTGGAAGAGTTTTGAGTCGGTCATTCAGAGCCTCATAGTCACCAGAAACTTTTTTCCTGTTGAGTATTGAATTCAAAGTGAGGGGTGGTTTTGGAAAACAAGGAACTGAAGAAGGAGACAGACACACACACATTTCTAGTAACGGTTCTATTGGTATGGAAACATTTTTTGGAGTCAATAACTAGAACCAAAACATTATTCCCATATTTAAGTTACCTAATCTTCTGGAAGAGCAAAATATTACAGTGCCACTCCTAAAACTAAAGATTTTCATGGAACATATATTTGATTATAATAAAAATAATAATCATTATTCTTAATACAAAAAGCAAAAAAAGGTTTTGGAATTTGTACTGAAAGTCTGGTACCAAAACAAATTCTGCAAGATCACATCAAGTGTTAGGACAGCATTGGCTGGCTCGTTACATCCAGACAAACGTACTCACCAGTGGTCAATGCGACTTTCACAGTCTTTCACCACCTGTTACAGAACACAGCATTCAAAACTTAACTTTGAAATACATTCTGGCAAAGGCATTAAGTGAAAAAAATGCATAATGAGTTCTCTCTCTGCTTTTTTTCTGTGGTATGCTGTCTATATTCATACATACAGGTTCTATCTACATTCTACACTCTTTGTGAGAGGGCTCTTGCAGGTCAAAACATGGCATAGAGATAATCCAAGTAGTACTCATGACCTTGAGATTTACCATAGAATGAGCTGCGCATTGGAATAAAACTAGAGTTGCACCGAAAGGAATTGATGAAGACAATGGGGATGGTGTGTACCTTTGATACAGATGAAAGTGTGTGTGTGTTATACTATCTGTGGCAGTGTCTTGTACTTATTGTATGATGGGGGGGTTTGAAATCATTAGTTTCATCCAACCCTTTTTCGAACCACAGACTTAATATTTGTATGTTATCTTGATATATGTGAGTTTATGTGTTGTGCAAGTCCGAAATAAACAATCTAGACACTAAACCATTGATCACGTGACTGAGATTGTTTATTCAGGCACTTCCACATTAACAGGGGGCGTTCCTGCTCCACGCACATAAGCAAGCACAAGTGGGCCAGCTCCACCACACGCTTGTTTAAGGATATAAAGTGTGTATTGCGTGCTATTGTGCATTGAACGGGAGAGTTATACTTGCACAAAACAGAAACTACACAGGCGTAATATGACAGAAAACGAAACTAAAACAGTTCGAGACATGTGGCTGCAAAGAGAGGAAGCTTCTGGAACAAATGGATGCATGCAAGACATTTAAAAAATATAGCTGTACACTGTACAAGTAGCTTAAAGGCAATAAAAGTGTAATGTTCCTTTGTCGTTTAAAAAAAAAAATGCCAGTGGGAAATGTGTAGAATTTGCAGGTTTGCGTGCCCCGCGTGGTTAGTGCGTCAGTTCCGTCAGCTCGCAGCAGAGTGGAGCCTTTCCAACAAATGTCACCTGGTCAAATTACCTTTTCGTGTTCTTCTCGCAGTCTGACAGCTCCACCGAACTGCTCTCCATTCATTTTGCCCTTTTCGGACATAGCCAAAGCACAGGATGGGGGTATTGTGTTTGTGAGATGCGAACCTCAGGGGTTGTTGTGAGTCCTAAAGAAGTGTTTATGAAGGCAGAAGCAGCTATTCCTCAGCGCCGTCCTGCTAGTTTTCATCAATGGACCACAAATTGGTATCCACAGTTCCGGAAGTGCTTGCATTTCACACGCTCATTTCAGGATCTCCGTCTCACAGCCAAAATGTAGATCCACGTATGTAAGAAATTAGGTTATCAGTAATCCTCCTCGCCACTGTCGCTGGTTCGCCATGCAGCCCCGAGACAATATTCGTGAGGCAAAAGTGTTTGACATCTACTTCCGGTTATACTGTCAAAATAAGAGATTCGTCTGTCTAATTATTCGTATTTCCGATAATTGTGTCTTGAATATTTGACTTGTTATGAATTACATTTACAATTTAAGTTGTTTTTTAGTTGCAGAATGCTATTGTGACTATAAATTGGTAGGCAATCAGTCAAGATATATACTTTTGTTTTGAAAGTAAAGCAATAACATCCGCTTTGATATTTCGTCAAAATGTGTTGTGTTTTTTAAAAAAGATGACTGTTGTGTTGCGGTTGGTTTTTTTTATTATAGTGTTAGTAAATATTTAACTACATTATATGGGTGTGAGAACAGGATCGAAGCGCCATATTTCAAATAAAAGCTAATGGAATTATTATTCACAACTAATGGAATTCTATGCATGCTATTTATCTGTAACTATTAGATTCTGTGCACATTCCCTCTGTATGTCTGTGGATTATTTGTAAGAAAATAAATCAATCATTACGTATTGTAATGTGATTTTTGAAATGTCTCTTTATTTGTTTTACAGGCTCTTCCCATAAAAGGAAGGTATTTTTCCACTGAATAAATGAATGCAGTATTTTTCTAGAACTAAAATTAGATTTTTTTTGCGTCATTAACAAATGGTAAATTTTTAAATTAGGAAATTATGGATGGACCTTACCCCTACGCCTCGTCGTAATATTTACAGCATTTGGTCGCCATAGATAGACAGTAAATCGTCGGTCGTCGGCCTGGTTACTGGTGTTGCATTTCAGTTAAATCGGAATTGAAAAACTTCAATGTGGGCAGCTGCGTCTCGGAACCATTGTTTTTTTTTATGTATTACGCTACATATTAACTCTTGTCGCTTATAGAAAATACTGCTGCATTGCTCACCCATGTCCGATTTTTAAAGCACTCTGAAAGTTCTTTGAATACAACTCGTTTTTCCTACTACACTTGAACCGATTTGAACGCGGTTGTCTCCCGTCAAGCACTGCGCCCCAAGCTCAGAGAGCATCAACATCAACAAATGTGGTCATGTGGTAGAGCTGAGTGATGGTGCAGACGGATAATAGATCCATGGTGCGGACAGATGGAGTGAGATCGGATCGTACTGTTGTGTGGCTTTAATCTAAATGATTGTAAATATCAGACACGGAAGCGGGTAGGTGCAGCTGCTCTAAAACAGATTTACTCGGTCTGAGATTATTTGAATCATGATGCAATCGCCTACGTTACATTGTAATAAAACATCTGTTTGATTTTGAAGTAAATCCACAGAATGTCTCATCGGGTCCAAGATGTTATGAAGCTGTGCTGCGAGTTATCAGCCAATCAGCAAATCAAAAGTGCAGTGAAAGGCTCTGGGAAAGGGGCGGCTGCAGCAGGGGGGTTAGCGTTTGCAGGAGGGTTGGTTGGAGGTCCTCTCGGTATTGCAGTCGGTGAGTATCCTATACTGTAATAGTCCACTGCTTGGTTTTCCTCTGATATACTGTGATTTCTATAAAAGGCGGCGCTGTGGGGGGTCTTCTGGGATGTTGGATGACGAGTGGACAGTTCAAGCCTTTGCCTCAGATCATTATGGAGCTGAGTCCTCAGCAGCAGCAGAAACTGTATGATGATCTCGCGGCTATTCTTGGAGAAATTAACTGGACAGACTTGGCTCAGTTAACGGCGTTGGTCATGGGGAATGCAACTCTAAAGCATCAACTAACAGCTGCTCTTCTTGGATTCGTCACAAAGGAGCTCCAGGCAGAAGTGCACTATGTGGACTAATCTACACTACCATTAAGATAAGATAAAACTGATCTCACAGCGAAGAAATTTACATGTTCCATTTCAATCGAGAGTCAATAAGATCGCTCAGGTGTGCAAACATGTTAAAAAGTGAAAAATAAATAATGTATCTTTTTGTGCAATAAAGGTATTTATGTACAATTAAAATGTGACTATGGCAGTGCAGTTGTCAGTCATTAAGTGACCTATTGTACAGTCTGACAGTGATGGGGATGAAGACTGTCAGTCGTCTTGTTCACGGTGGAGGTGAGTTTGGCTAACACCCTCATGCCCCTCACCTACAACGAACATGACACCAAGTCCAGGTCACTCTTTGTCTTTTGGGATTAATCATAAATAGAGTTTCAGCATGTGTACACTCATATGATGCGATAATTATGCAAAATATGCAACATTTTGTGTTGCTTTCCAGTGTCTGCGTATGCTCAACAGTCTAGTATGTCCAGTATAATCTCTTCTGCACACTGGTCCAGGTCCGAAGTCACCTCACCCTTTAGGGCTGCAACAAGTAATAATAATACATGTATAATTAAAGGTATATAGGAGGATTTTCTACTTCCGGGTGGATCATTAAGACTATTGGTCCTCCCAACTGTCAATCATTCTGGTGACACGTGCTCGTCCAATAAGACCAGAGAGTTTGGTTTGAAAAGTGGAGAGGGCGGTTCTTTCCTAAAACCTGGGAAAATCCTCCTATACACCTTTAAGTTAATCAACGGAATCCAATAAATCCATTACTGAAAAAGAACCTTTTACTTTAACATGCTGAGAACAGGTTTTAATTATATAACGACTGCAGAATTAAATGAAAAAAGTGTTACAATATTTTTATCAAACAACCCAATATGCAACAGGTCATCTTGAATATGTCCAAGGATTTGTTTTAGTCAAATGCATATAAAACATATCCATTGATCTTTAGGGATATCAAAAGTTAATCAGTTGCTGTCATTGTAAGAATAATCATCCAACTATAATTGATCAAAATAATGATTACCACCCAACCTCAATCATTTCACTTCATTCTGTGGCAAGAGGACTTGTGTATTTACTTCTAAATCTCAAAGACTTCTACAGACCAATAATGTCTGAGCCCAAACAAAGGCCATGATTTGTAAATAAATGTCTGTCTATTTAAACCAATTATAGTTTCTCTCAGATTTTACCAATTTTCAGAAGATCAGTAAGTTTACTATATAACACTGGATAAAAGGATCAAAAAACTTAAGACAACATCAGGACAAGGATCAACCAAACGGGTTGAAATAATTTTATTTATATGTAAATAATTATTAACTCTTAAGATATTTGGTCCATTTTTAATCATAATGGGAAACACTTTATCCCACAATTACAGTGTCATCATCAAGGAATTCATAATAAGGAACCTCAAGGTTAAGGGGAGCGGGTCCTTTTCTGATTCTTCCAGATGCATCGTAATGAGAGCCATGGCAAGGACAATAGTATCCCCCAAAGTCACCAGCGTTAGCAATGGGCACACAACCCAAGTGAGTGCACACCCCAAGAACAATCACCCACCGAGGATTAGACACTCGGTCTTTGTCGTGCTCAGGATCACGCAATTCTGCAAGATTTACAGCAGCTTCCGCAGCAATTTCCTTGTCTGTTCTATGACGAACAAACAGGGGTTTCCCTCTCCACTTGAAGGTCATGTTTTTACCTTCAGGGATTTCACTCAACTTGATTTCAATTTGAGACAAGGCCAAAACATCAGCTGATGCACTCATAGATGATACAAACTGTGTGACCACAGTTTTGGCAGCATAGAGCCCAATCACAGTGGTGGCCCCTGTGAGTACGTAGGAGAAGGATCTTCTAGATTCGCTGCTGCCCTGGGAGGACTTATTTGGGTCAACAACGTCAGGTCGACGGTAGTCTGTAAAATCAGGAATCTTGAGGTCTGTGTGAGCAAGCCGGATTCCTGAACCTGTAAAATTAAGATTATTTAATTTAATCATGAGGACAGTTTACACTACATATAATACAGACTAACTTTACACTAATATATATATATATAATATATATATATATTAGTGTAAAGTTAGTCTATATATATATATATATATATATATATAATACAGACTAACATTACACTACAGGCTAATATTATGAAGTTATCATATGGGGCCTACATTAAAAGACAATCTGGCTGACGTAAATTTAACAAAAACTGTACCTATATGCATTGTTTATGCTGGAGCTTTTCCAAGCGTTAGCTTGTAGCATTAGCAACATTACGTTCTTACCTGCTAGGCCCGCATCCTTTGCGTTTTTGATTCCGTTCCTTACAGCCTGCAAGTACGGATACAGCGACCCATGACGTGCGGCTACAGACATCATTTTCACCCAATTTGGTCCAATAAATGCCCCAAGACTGGGACACGACCTTGCGTGTGAAATTCGTGCGTAAACTGTTCAGCCGCTGGTGGAGGCGGAAGTGGCTGCACCTCAGAGAAAGAGGGTGTTCTCAAAGATCCTGCCCATGGTTCCCGAACACAACAGCACCATATATCACTACACATGGTTTATACAACAACATAATAGTCTTTCATTATCTTAAAAAAAATATAGAGTGTCAGGTCACATAAAAAAACTGTAAATATACATGTTATTCTGTATTTTACGGCAGGCATATTTCAAAGCTTTCTGCATTCTGTGGGTCCACGTGATGTAAACAAGGGTCCTTGAGACAGAAAAGAAGGCTAGCTGCAAAATGGTAACCTGAGAATTAAATAAAAAAACCATGAAAATACCAAAAAGAAAACTATTTCTTCTTATAATTTTTGCTTATGTAGCGTTTTCACTTTACGCTGCATACAACGTGTTCTTTAACACCAAAGCCATCTCCCGTGTTCATCGAGTGGTTAACAAAGACAGCGCACCATCAGGTAATATACTTTTAATATCTGATTTAACCCTCGTCACAAATATAAATCATGATCACACAATTGCATATTATAATTTATCATTCGATGTTGATGAATTTGTCTAACTGTGAATTCTTGCGGCACAGGTGGCGTAAGAGATGGAGGAGCTGGCCCCGTCCTTGCAGATGAGTGGAATCCGTGGGAGAATGAACAGGTGGACTACAACTCCGCTCTGAACAAAAAAAGAGACGCATTCAAACAGTATTTAGACAAGAACAAGATAAACAAAAACAAGCCTAAAAGATTCAAGGTGCAAATTTGGGGCAAGGCTGCAATAGGTGCGTGATTTTATATGATCAATTAATCATTTTTAACAATTGTATTATTCCCCAAAGTGCAAAGTTGGAATGATTCATAATACTCAATAAATATTTTGAAATGTGTGATTTATTTTACATTATTTATTATTTTTTGTTATCTACTATCTGTTTAGGACTGTATCTTTGGGAACATGTCTTAGAAGGACCACTTAATCCTTCAGATAAAATTGCGCAATGGAGAGAAGGGGAACTGCAGTGTGGAAAGGTTGATTACAGGTAATGAATGGAGCAGTTATTATTTGTTTGATTATTATTCGTCATTTTAAAATATGTTTTTTTCAATTAGTTTTTACACAGGACCTGCCGTTGTGCAAGGCCACGTTCCACTGGACATGAATAGCTTGGTTTTGGTTCTCAACGGCCGTGAGCAACAAAAAGTTTCCTACTCAACACGTTGGTTAGAGCATGTCCAAGCCCTGGTAAACACACGCACTGTGTCACATGTGGCTGTGGTCTTGCTGGGGAATGAGAAGTGTAGCAACGACTGGATTGGCCCCTATTTGAAGAGGAATGGTGGATTTGTTGAGCTTCTTTTTGTCATCTATGACAGCCCTTGGGTTAATGACAAGGATGTCTTCCAGTGGCCCCTTGGTGTTGCAACGTAGGTCACAAAGAACAAATGCTATTATAGAAATATGTAATAAAGCTTTCTAGTGTACACAGCAATGTCTAATTCAGATATTCTCTTTCTAGATACAGACAATTTCCTTTGGTTCGACCAAATGCCCAACTGATCACATTAAACAGACCATACATCTGCAACTTCTTAGGAACTGTTTACAAAAATTCTTCCAGAGAAACCCTCATGCAGGTTCTGTCAATGTCTGGATTGGATAAAGAATGCATTACCTCTGCCCGTGAAAAGTAGGTACTTAGAATTGTAATAACTTATCAATATTTGTGACAATTGACTTAACTTTGTTTTTGTCTATTGTCATCAGGTGGCTCCCTCAGGAAACATCAGACAGTCTGAGGCGTTACCAAATGGCTCTTGCTCAAAGTGAACTCACCCTCTGTCCAGTCGGATTCAATACAGAGTGCTATCGCATTTACGAGGCCTGCTCTTACGGGTCCGTGCCGGTTGTAGAAGACGTCCAGACCCCGGGCACGTGCGCTTCTGGGTCCACCGCTCCCTTGCGACTACTAAAAGCGGCCGGGGCTCCATTTATATTCATCAGCGACTGGAAAGAGCTCCCATCCATCTTAGAGCGCGAGAGGGCGATGAGTCAGGAGCAGAAGATAGACCGGAGAAGACGGCTACTGGAGTGGTACGCAAGTTTTCGTCAACAAATGAAAGAAAGATTCACCGAGGTCATTGAAGACAGTTTCTTTAAAGACGCCTGAGTCTTGTGTCTCCTGCCTCTGTCTTCAGCCAATACTTATTGAGTATTTTAAGTCTGTGTGGCGTGGAGGTCTGTGACAGTTTTGTATCGTAGTGAGTGGTGTATTTTTAATGAAAAGTTATGTTGTAAAAATGAGCGTTGGCATTTTTACTTATTTTAGTTGAGCAGATTTTATAAAACCGTGTTATGTTTACAGTGGTGGAATGTTAAGTTACGCTGCCTTTGCATTATCTGCTTAGTATTCAATAATATTCTTCTATCTAAAAAAAAATGGATATATTTATGTTAAATATTATCCATTCATGAATTCACTCATAATCATTTTTTGTGTGGTGTGGTATTCTTCAAAACTGTGATGAATATGAATGTGTTCTCATATACAGGCATGTCAACTTGGTGAGTACTCAGGTATTTTGCAAGTATAGTGGCTTCAAACGTGTGGTCATTGAATGTCGGTGATGTCACATGTTGCCCTTCTGGCCATTGCATTTCATGTATATTTAAACGTATTTATTTTCGTGCTTTGGTGCATGATTGTTATGAGAAGCTGCAAAGAAATAAAGGACGATCCGAGTAAGTGTCACGTTTATTCCAGCTGGTGGCGCCACAAACACATGAATACAGCTGGCATTGCTTTCAGTGGCTCTAAGCAACCAACTAAAATCTCCTCAAAGTTGTTCATGTAGTCTAGAATATCATACGTTTGGATTTGTTTTGATTACAGCCATTTACTCCTAGATAATGTATGTTTTTTTCTTATTTTTGTCCCCATAATATTTCAATCTTGACTTCGATACTACGACATACTCAATACCTGTTTCGATACTAGTGATATTTAGAGGCCCCCTCCCTCCATCAATAGTATTTCTTAATAATATTGCCACCAGTAATTAGCACTCTCGCTTCTCAACACAAGGTCCGGGGGCTCTGAGCAGGGCCTTTCTGAGTAGAGTTTGCGCAGGTTTTCTCCAGGTGCTCCGGTGTCCCCTGTCACTAAAACCATGTGTCTCTGAAATCTCAGTGGGACTTTCCTGGATAATTAAAGGTCAATAATAATATTTATGATCCCACACACACAAAATCGTTATTTATATTTTGAGTGTGTGTTTTTTTAAACACTTGTTCAATTATGCATCTAGTTTCGATAATAGATTTTCCATATCTGGTTTTCGATTCTTCTGTCAACTCTATTTTTAAAAAGTTTGAGCACGTGTGAGTGAGCGTGCATGTATGTGTGTGTGTGTGTGTGTGTGTGTGCATGATTCAGATCCCTCCCAGTCCTTCCTCTCCCCAGCTGCTGACGGCCTGCCCTGTCTGCTGCTGCTGCCTCTGCTGCTGCCTCTGCTGCTGCCTCTGCTGCTGCCTCTGCTGGGGGAAGAGTTGGGGAGAGACGAAGAGGGACAAGACCCGGGGAGGGGGGAGGAAGTGCGTGTGCTGCTCCCAAAAAAACTGGAAAGGACGCTCCCGAAAGTCGCCTCGCAGCTCATCCACAACCCGAGCAACCCCCGATCGAAGAGCAAACAACACATTGGAGACCCATAAACTTCTACAGGGGGCTACAGCGCGCCCGGCTGGACTGGACTGGACTGGACCAGGGGTTGTTGCGCATTCGCCGTGCTGTTGAATTGAATCACGGCGAAGAAGCGAGGACAATGAAGGACTAAAATTAAACCCATGCCCTGCTATAATCTCGCTTTTAAAGAAAACTCATTCATTTGACGCGCCTGTATATTGTGTTTTTTCTTTGCGTTGTTTTGCCTCCGTTCGCGCAGTGGGGATGCGACTATCGCTGCTGTAGGAACCCGCTTCTTGTTGACAAACAGTTTTTGCAAGTTTTTTCTCAGTCTGCGATCTCAACGAAGCGGAAAATGTCCACGCCGAGGTTCAAAAAGGATAAAGAGATTATCGCGGACTATGAGAGTCAAGTAAAAGGTAAGCGGTCCCCTTTTTTTGGAGAAACTCTTGTATAAATGGCTCGTTTTGGAACAACACGCGATTGCATCCATTCTAAACCTGCCATATGAGTCATAGCCAAGGATGCAGGCAGGGGGTTCTCACGGTGTAATGCAGTAAAACACACCACCCGCTGACTAATGCTCAGCAAACTAAGCACGAATCACAAAATCAAGAAGTATTATGCGTAAAATCAGTTGTCATGGTTTTGGCAGGATGTGGACTCAACCCCAGTGGATGTTCTTATGTCTTTGCAAGTTCTTTTAAAGGACTATTGATTGACTAATTGAAACAAGTTGACATTTGTATTAGTCTGTTGAGCTATTGCTTCCAACTGGTTGCATATAGAGGAGTTACAGGTGATGCAATACTTGGATTCATGACATTACAGTGATGTCCTGTCCAGTTTACACAGATACATACACATAAATATATACATGTTTGAGTGCTTTGAGGCTTTTCACACTAGCAATAGTTGTTTTGTTGCTGTCTAAGTAATAATGGCACCCTATATGATCCTGTCTTCCTCCTTCAAGCTCGGCTGCATGCAGGTCAAACCCCGAGACAGTTAAAGCCAGCCGTCCCTGTGCACCATGAGTATAGCCATGGGGGATTTGGATCACAGCCCAGCAGAACTGTTTCTTTGCTCTGGAATACCACCTATCACGTCCCCCCCATCCACCCTCAAATCCAGTGAAAAGCAAGGGTGGGATGAGGGGGGAGTGGGGCTGTGGGGGCAGGGGCAACGTGTGGAGAGGACAAGTGGGCAGAGTTCTCCTTTGGGAATTAAAAGATTGCATGTGGTTGAGCACAAGCCCTCATTTCCAAAGAATGTCCGGCAGCCTTTCTTCTCCCGGCGACGATGACTAAGAGCTTTTTGCCCTATAATAGAGCGTGATGCACGGTTTGGAGAGGATGCTGAACAAGTGATGACGAAGCTTCCCATTTCTCACACGGCAACAACCTGATGCTGCTGTAAATGTTTGTCTTTACACGACCGGTTCATGTAAGGTTCTTTTTGACCCTTTAATGGTGTTATCAACCATTAGTAGATCATCTTTTGAGTCAATATGTATACTTTAAGCATGCTCGGAACTGAATTATACCTTTTTGTGGCATCTAACTGGGTTTTATGCACTTTTACCGTCAAACTGCATTTAAACCATTTGGTAAAGGCCAATCATTTTAAATAGTAGGGGTTTAAAAGAAAAAGTATTTGTGTTATTAGTGCTCCTACATCTTAGAAAATGAAGATTCAGATTTATTTATTTGCCATTTGCAGTAAAACCACTTTGGAAAAAACATTTGCAAAAGTTCCCAGTGTGCACAAGTCAAGTACGTTAAAAAAAGTAAACATTTGACACGGTGAAATTGACGGAGGGAATGTTAAAGGGTTCAACAATTTAATATGTTTGTGTGTGGAGCAGCTTCATTACTATCAAACTCAAAATGTGTTTTATTTCAGCCACATCCTGATACAAGACAAGTTCCCATCGCATCTGCAAAGTGTTTTTGTGAAATGAAGTGAAATGTGAGCCTTGAGAGCTGAGGTGATAACGAGTGGGTAGTGGGATCACATCTGCAGCGGAGCAGAACCCAGCGCTTCAGGCACAGTCTGAGAAAACACTGTTTATTCAAGAATTAGAGCAATAATCCCACCACAAGGACCAGGGAATCAGATCTGCAGCGTTTAAGATGGCTATGATATCAAATCAATAATCGTCTCATTTGGCTTTCATTATGTCTCAGTCTATTTAATCCTTTTCTTTTCCTCTTGTGCCTGATTTCAAAGAGCTGTAGCGTGGAGATTGAACATTACGGTCTCCTCAATCTGCTCTTTTTGGAAAAACACATTCTTCTTTATTGTCTTTGTAAAAGTGGAATTTTATGGAGCTCATTGGTTTCAGGCAATTAAAGCCAGTTGTAAGGATTTAAGCTCGGTGCTTCGGTGACGCAGAGAGGAGCACTGCTTTGGGGTAAAGTTGGTTTTTAGTGTCAGTCTGTAGAAAGATGCAGCTCATTGGGTCGTGACTCTCGGTGGTGGACACTTCAAGCGCTCAACAGGGGTCCGGACTCTTCTGTCTTTCTCTGGATGAGTTTAGTTTAGTCCTTATTTGAAAGAGAGAGTTCAGACATGATGATGATGGTGAAAAATGGATTCTGTTTGGAGTCGCTCGAAGGTACACTGTAGTTTTTACTCCCATCTAGGATTGAGATCACATACTGTAATTTAGGGTGCTACAGTAGCTTCGCAGGACAATATGTCGTCTTTGACAGTGGTCCTCAACTCCCGCTTAAACTGCTTTTTGTCCCTTATCAACCACTGTATTTCAAGATGCCGCATTGACATGTAGAGCCAGCTTCATGGACATTTACAAGCCAATTTCTAAGCCTAAGACAACAATTCAAAAACATGGAGACGGTAAATATTCTTAAAAAGGTCACATTTGCTATTAGTTAACATGTTTTTTCATTTGGAGCAACTGTAAAATTGACACTTTTAACTTTTAACACTGCGTGAGTTGTGTGGTCCTCTGTGTTTTTATTTTATTTTATTTCTATTTTATGGTTTTAATCTGTTTTATATATTTTTATTCTTTTTTACTTGGTGAAGCTAAGGATAAGTTGTTATTTATTTTATACTTTTTTGTGCAGCACTTTGGAAACGTAACTGTTGTTTAAATGTGCTATATAAATAAAGTGGATTGGATTGGATTGGATTGACAATGATGAAGGCACACTTACGCTTCTTTCTTCAGCCTTTGGAGCTTTGTTTTTTGAAATGGTACCTGTAGAAATACCGCAGGGCCTTCATCCCCACCGCTGTCAGACTGTACAATAAGTCACTAACAAACTCTCAAAGCTAAACTCACTTTTAATTTGTTACCTTGCACAAAAGAAGGCTATAGTTTGACCTTTTTGCACACTTCCTGGCTTTTTGCACAGCCGGAGTGATTCTATCTCTGCCAAATGTGACATCACTGACATGTACCGGTACATTTCTAAGTTGATCTTATCTGGTAAACTGCATAAATTAACTACTACTACTACTACTACACAGCAACATTAAGCTCAAAGACACATATTTTCTGCAGCAGATTATAGCTACAAAGATCATTTCCATTTGCAGTACCCGGTGACATGACAAAACAATTCAATAACTTAAAATAAAATCACAACAAGGAATGTCCAATGGGATTTAATGAGCCCCACCCACACCCCACACTTACAACATCTCACAGACAATACATCCTCTCATTCATCATACGACATCACTCATGATTCTCTACTATGGTTCTCTATATTTCCTGGGTTTCTATGTGTTTTTTAATGTTTTATACCCTGTGCTGCTCAAAGGAATTGCCCCTGGTGGGATAAATAAAGTAGTCTGAATCTAAACAAGCTCATATTTAAGTGTAGCCCGTGGTCGTGTTGTGATTACTATCCATCTTTCCATTTCTGATGCGAAATATAAACGTTGCCAAATCATCAACCAGACCTCGGCACAGATGTCGCACACATGTGGCGTCTGGGTGTGCGCAAAAAAAAAAACTATAACTCTTTAGAATACTCTTTGAAGTTTGGGGGAGTAAATAACTGGTGTTTTCTCTGAATTATTGCTCATTTATTCCTCAGAAAACGACAACAATGCAGCAGTCATCCTATAGCTGCCTGATGACTGATGAGCTAACGTCGTTGATGTGACAAGTGTGTAGTCCGGGCCTTTTTCGTGTCAGTTGTATGACTTAGCAGCAGGTGGTAGCTACACAACACCTGCTGATGATGTGCGTTTACAGTCCATCACGAATACGAATTAAATGACAGAAGATAGACGCGTTTGGGGTTGTTGACTTGTTGCGTTGTGTGGCCCGGCTATAATTAGACCCAACAGTTGCGTGGCGGCGAACGGCGTGACAAAGTTTGTTTTTGTCGGCGAAACCTGAAATGTTGATCTTTTTACGTCCTCACAGTCTGAAGAGGCGTTGATGGAATTTAGAGGCTGACACACTAATGGCATCCAAACACCTTGCCAAGCACTTCTGCACCGCATCACGCATCCTACACACACACACACACACACACACACACACACACACACACACACACACACACACACACACACACACACACACACCATCTGCTTTAGCTGCTCCTCCTTCCTCCTCAAGGTCTCTGTGTGTGTTTGCACTTGATGCTTTAGTGTCGGGTGTGGCGACTGCGTGGGCGCCCGTATGCCACTGACACAATGGTTATTGACAGCACCATCTGTGGATACTCGCCAGTTTTTGCAGTTTTAATAAACCCAGTGATACCTTCCTGACTTTTCAGAGCAGCCACACACACAAAGGCCAGTCTGGACCTTTATAACAGCCATCCCCGGTCTCACATCACATCAAGCCCAAGGCAAATGATAGCAGCATGTTGCGTAGATATTTTCAACATTATCGACAGGCTGGTATAATCTACAGACGTCAACAAGTTACCTCAGCTTCTGTATTCAATTCAATTCAGTTCATTGTGTTTTTGTCTAGCCCTTAATCACAGCCGCAGACGTCTCGGAGGACTTTACTAAGTTGAAGTTAATAAAGAAACACATAGGAGCCGTTGGTCCATAGGGAGCTGGATGACCAATAAATCCATAAATGTTTGTAAACGTCATTCCTGCCTTTTTTAGTGCATTTTTGTTTATACGTTGTGGTCAAAATGCATGGGCGTCTCCATTAAAGGATTGTTAATTTATATAAAGTGCCTCAGTCCGCTACCCTCTGCCAAACATTGCAGACCAGCGATTCACAAACTTGTAAGTCTCTGCTTTATTTATACTTTGCCTATACCTCTCATCATATCCATAGTCATCGTTGAGGTCCAGGGATCAGGATTATGTTTCATATGAACTATTTGAATGAACTGATGGAATTAAATCACTGCAACAGAAGCTTTTGCTTCTGTTGCTTCTACGCTTTCAGGACTGCTTTCAT